TTTACTATATTTAGTAATTATTTTGAGTTTATTCTATATATATTATCAAGTTATAAATTTTGTTAGTGATATATCTGTTTCATATTTCAAGAAAGTTTTACAATTAAGCTTTGTTATATTTTAGTCTACCAAAAGAATTAAAGAGTTTTATTTTCTTCAAAATATGAATTGTATATTAAAATTTAATGCCTAAAAATTGATCTAATAAAAATATTTATCAAATCATCAATAAATTTAACTTTTAAGACTTTGTTACATGGTATTTTATTTGGATTAGTTACCAGATGCATAAAATAATAATAATAATAATAATAATAAAAAGATAAAGGTGCAAAGATCTCTATACTTTATCTTTTTAAGAATGTAGAAGCAATTAAATGTTGCTTTCAAGTATACAAGAAAAATAAGCAACTAAATAAAAATAAAGTCTAATGAGATAATTTTACCAAAGACTTGAGCAATGTTATCATTACAATTATTATCTTGAATAATGAAGATATTTTAAAAAGTTTGAGGGATTTTTCTCTAACTTGATAACTTTAATGGTTCAAATATATATATATATATAGGTATAGTTCCATGGGCTTCTTTTCAATAATAAAATACAATACATAATATTTAAATTAATAAAAATTAAAACTAATAACTAAAAAGATTGAAGAATACAAGTTTTGGAACTTGTCCCTCACAAAATGGACACTTTTCCCAACAGTGTATTGTGGCAACATCCACCCATTGGCCATTTGCATTGGTGGCAATGCTCTAATATCAAAAACATATTTACAGGATTTGACAGGATCTTTAAGGTAATTCTATGCTCTATCGTGAAAAATAATAATAGTAGAAATGAATAATATCCAGATTTATTTTTATTTTTAAAAAATGTAGAGGAAGGAAGAAGAATATTTTACTTTCAAAGAAAGAACCTATGCAAAGGCTAAGCAGGATTGGAATTAAAAATTAGACAATGAGATTGAAATAGAATCAAAGTGAGAGTGAAAAATGGGTGTGTGTGGGGTAGAAGATTAGAAAACTTCCTTGAGTGTTGATGTGGGTAAATCCTTTGGAATTAGCAAAACTTTGAAGTTATGTTTTGGTGTGATTGGAGTATGAGGGGAGAGTCTTCTTGCAAAACAAGGAGGAATTTTGCTAAAAGACATTTTTTTCTAAATATGAATCATAATTGGAAAAGAGACATGATTTAACTTTTGTTTAGAGAGACAAAATGAAGCGTTTATACTATGATACATGTCAAGGCTAAACCCTAAACCAACAATGTAAGGAAAGATGATTTGCAGTATGCAATGGTCATTGTAAAGACAATTTAAAAAATAAAAACAAAAACAAAACAAAACAAAACAAACCAACAAAAGCTCCCATCCATTGCTATTATCAAGAGCAACAATACTTCAAGGATCAATTAAATTTGAGTTGTTAGTGTTCCCCTCAATGACATTGCCAATTCCAACCACAAGTAATGAAGCAACAATTTTGCACTTACTTGGTATGTGTTTTTAATGTAGCTTGTGTCAGCAAGAGAGAAGTTAAAGAGTGTAATGCATGTTTAAAACTGGAGTAAACAAAATATCTTGTGAATTATCTGCAATGCCAAACCTACAGATTACTTTGTTAATTATAATTTATGTAAAAACAATTATAAAAAAACAAAAAAAAGTAAAAAAATAACAGGTGCACCAACAACAATGAATGAATTGAAAATGAATGAAAAACATTTCTATCACAAATTGTTATCAAGCAAAAACGATACAAAGCCATGCATTGTTTTTCCAAAAAAGTTCTTGACAGTAGTGGAGAGACTGTAGATCTTATCTCTATGCAAAGCAAAGTTGTGGTGGTAGGTGATCCATTTTCATTTAAGGTAGACAACACTTGATGCACCTCTTCATGCACATCTAATCACGTTCTTTAAGAAGAAGAATGTGATTAATCTCAACAATCAAAGGAGCTACAAAATATGATGAATATGAGCCCTTTTTAATATTCTCAACATGGTGGGAGGAAAGATTGTGAGGCACCCATTTCAAAACACACCAAAACCCTAATCACCAATTTCCTTCACAGTGAGACCAATGAGATACCCGTTCACTCCACCAAGGCGGGTATTACAGGGTCTTCAGCTGAGCAATCCAATTGGGGGAGGAATGCACGTTCCAGGATTTGCCAGGCTGGCACCAATCATCCACTGCCAGCTGTATGGGTCCATGTGTCGCAAGGGGAGGACTTGCTTTTTGGGTCCAGTTGTGAAGAATGGGTAACTGCTCTGTGGCTCTCCCTCCTTCAGTACTTCCCCTCCACTGAACGACAAGGTACTTTTACTTCTACTTTTTACTTTTTTTTGTTTTCATTTGTTTTTGTTTTGATGTTCTGCCACACACCTAACCCTAATAATGCTCCACTGCAAGGCTCCCTGCACTGAAGCTCCACATTGCAGAGAAGAAGGGCTTCAATGATTCCAATGCCACTCAGACCCCCCCCCCACCCCCAACAAACCAAAAACAGAGAAGACCCACTTGAAGATCAGGGTTTTGAAATGGCTCAAACATCCACTCCACATTACAATTGTTGGGGTTTAGGGATTTGCTCCAAAGCCCCTGAAAGCAAAAAATAAAATAGGGTTTTGGATTGTTCATGGATTCTCCCACCAAGTGAAAAATTAGGGTTTTGGATGACACTGACACCCACTCAGTAGTATTAGTATTAGGGCTTGAGGGGGGGGGTGCAATTTTTGAGTGCTGACTTGCAAAGTGGAGGAGGAATGAGCTGGGAGTGAAGGAGTACCGTTGCTGTTATGCTATGCCATTGCAATAGTTGTGGATTCTCTGTGCTGATTCTCCCTGATGGGTACCACCCAGTTGTATGTGTGTGTTTGTATGTGTAAGTGAGTGAGTGAGTGAGTGTGTGTGCTTTGGAGGGAGTGCATAATCTTCTCTTCAGCTGTGTGTTTTGGGGCCTCAGAATGGGCCTCTGACCTCACTATTGATGATTGACAAAATGTTCTTCACAATGGGGCCAGCCATGGGTGATGATCAAATACACTGGGTCATGGGAGTGAGTCACTGTGGGGTGGGTATAAGTAAGAAAGTGAGTGAGTATTATGAGTAGCCCAAGTGAGCACCTCAGACACTCCACATAATTCCATCCATATTCTGTCTTGTTTAGACCCCCCCTTTTTGTCATAATAACATTGTGATGTGAATCCCCCCAAAAAAAAAAAAAAAAAAAAAAAAAAAATCTGTTTCAACTTCTTCTTCTTCTTTTATATATCATGAAAGTATTGTCCAGCAGACCAAAAAATAATAACAATAAAGGATTCAGGAGTTGCAAGAAGTGTTGTCAAAAATAAAGAAATTTTACTCATACTCATGATACATTGAGTTTAGTTAAGGTTGTTGTTTTGTCATTGCTTGGTCTATATTCAAGGACATCAAATTTCATTCCTATGGTTGAATTAGAAATGGATTATTTCTTTGTATTCATTAAAGAATTAATGATAAGTTACAAATTTTCCATCCTTCTGAAAATTAAGTTATTATCAACTGTTCTGTATTTAGTAAACATCAAACATATTCATGGTCATTTTACACAATTACTTTTTAAACCGCACTTTTTATTCAGGGTTCATGTTTTGGTAGTTAATAAATAAATAAATTTCTGATGTTGACTGTTGAATGCCTTTAATTCATATAAGAGTTTTAGCATGGTACAATGTGCCTATTTGTATGGGTTACTTGATTGCAATTAAGGCTACTTGCAATTAGTTGTGATGAAAATCAGTTCCAAGAAAAATACCAAAATTATATTTATTTATGATTTGAAATAAATTAAATGAGTATTTACATATAATGCAATGTTAATTCAATGGTATCTAACTTTTGGTTGGCTCTTTGTTTAATGTGTGGTCTTATTTTATACCCAAGTACTTTGACAGTTCAACTTTTAGATGCTAGTAATTTTTCAATCTACTGTACTCCAGAATTTGCAAAAAATAAAAACAAAAAAGCATTAAAAATGTATTGTTTCTAGTAGGAAATTGGATACACCTTAGGTCATGTCTAACAAACATTGACAATACATGGTTAATATTTTCATGTCCATATGGCTACAATGTTAAACTTTGAATTCTAACCTAAATTTCTTGTGTCAAAAGGCTGGAAAAAAAAAAAGAAAAAAAAGAAAAAGAAAAAGAAAAAAAAGAGATCCATGTACTTTATTATACATGAAAAAAGAAAAAAGTAATGTCTCACCTTATTCGTGCACAGAATGATCAACATTATCAGGATAAGGAGGCCGAAATGTGAGAATAGGCAGCCACCAGCTTATGCCTGCCTGGCTCAGCTGTAGCATGAATATGTCAGCAGCCCATATGCCACATCAGCAGCAGCCCATATGCCACATCAGCAGCAGCCCATATGCCACATCAGCTACTGCAGAACTTTTTTCACACCCTGCTGCTGCTGCTCTTTGCAAAGGCAGAGCAACATCATACCCAATGAGAGGTTCATGTGTGATGCTTTGTTTTGCTTTGATATTGTATTGTTTTTGTATACTTGTGTTGTGTTGTGTGTGTTTGTATGCGAGTATCCAAGTGCTTCACCTGCTGATGTGGACCCCCTTTCTGTAAAATCCTACCTGATGCTCTCCCTCCCATCTGTGTGCGTATCTCAATCTCCGCCTGGTCCCATGAAGTCAATGTGATGCTTTGTCCATTACATTGATCATCCATATTCTTGCCCCACTCTCTCACATTTTCTTTCTTCTCTTTCACTTGGGTATATTGATAGCGGCAACCATGTGGTATAAAACATAATGTATGTATGTATATATGTATATATATATATATATATATATATATATATATACTTTTGAAATATTAGCTATGTAAGCATAGAATTCAAGTATTAATTGTTATTTCTACTAAATAGCACAATCCTTGTTCCAAATCTTTCAAAATATAGCAAAAACTAGGTTTGCAACTCATGTACACTCACCAATTTGTGTCAGTTGACATTCATTCTATTTCTCAGTTGTTTGTTAAACATATTTCAAACTTAGAACCTAAGCAAGCTTGCCCTAAGCTATAAATATAAAATATATTTGTTCTAAGGTTGCCATTCTTGAGCTTTGTTGAAAGAGTTGCCATATTGAGGGATTTTTAGAACCAATAGGATTTCCTCTGCATACTATCATGCATAAAATTTGAAAGTTTACTATAATATTATCTCTTATGCCAATTTCATAAAATATTGCTCCATACCAAGCAATAGACATATGTATAAACATTCAGATCTTTATTTCTATTTATTTTTATCAAAATGTTAACATTCATTTCAATAGTCTCATTTTGGTAAATTAGCAAGGAGAAATTTCACGGTACACTTTAAATACAATTTTCCAATTTTTGTGATTCCTTCTCAATAATATTTGAAGTTCAAATGTCTTGTAGCTTTTACCTATAAAAAATGGTGAAAAATTGATAATCACATAATAAAAATAATAAACCAAAAACACTGGGATAGGAATAACCTTAACAAACAACAGGTGGCAGTTAAACAACTATCTAACTTTTACACATTATTTAATTATGAATAATTAAAAAATAAAACGGGTTAAATCAGATAATACATATATATATATATATATCCAGCACAATCACAGCACATGCAAACATGAGAGCTGGCAATTCCATGAGCTGCATGCAGATGCCAGTTATTTTACAGGCAAATCTGGTGTCCACAATACCAAACAACTAGTGATCAATGCAGCATAGCATCACCCAACCAACCAACAAAAAACATAAAAGAATGACAATAAAAGTAAAAAGACTCAATCATTATATTCAAATAAATATACAAAATACAGATAAAAATCAAATTTGAGCACATCATCATACATGAAAAAAAAAATAGAAGAAAAACAAAAACAAAAATAAAAATGGACCCATTTATGTGTCTGTCCGGTATGGAATAGGAGACGCAGCTGACGTCGGTGATAAATGAACCCTCTCCTTTAGTTTTAACTGCCCTGGCTCTGCAAATAAATAAACTCAGTCAGTCCGTCAGTTACTCAGACAAACAGACAGACAGACAGAGTCTGGGTTTCATGGCCAGTCTCAGTCCCTTGCCTTTGTGGATTGATCACCTGATTGATGTAAATATAAATATATAATAGTGAAATTGACATGAAACATTAAAAGTGATTGGTTTGCAATGTTACCCCAAACCAGGTTTCAAACTCTCTTTTGAAAGTAAATTTTAAAAAACGAAAGCTTATGTGGTGATAATAATATCTATTATTGTAGTTATACTTGACTCCAGCAGCATGGCTTTGACGTGGGCCTGTTTTCTCACTTGAATTAAAAACCAGAAACCATGTGTGTCCATCAAGTGGTCGATACAGCGAGAAATGAGAGAGGGGAACTTAATTCATTGCGTGATTTTGATAGTGTTTTCTTCGGTGGAAGAAAGAAGTTTAAAAATAAACCACTTCCCTTGTATTATTTTTTGTATGAAAAATAAATAAATTTATTAACTCCGAGGCAGACTTATCTTGATCAGGATTTTCAATGTATTTTTCATCACACAAGAAAGTCCCTTCATTTAAATGGTATAGAGACCCTGGTACAGTAAAAGATAGTAGCCTGATGGCCTTGTGCAAATAAATAAAAACTATATATATATATATATATATATATAACATCATCATCGTCATAATTATCATCATGAATGGTCAAATGAATGAGTGAATAGCCCAAAACTCAGTGTCAGAGGGAGTTTTAGGTTGTGATTGTATCTCCCACTCAATGTAATGAACATAGTGAAACATGGGAGAGAGAGAGAGAGAGAGAGAGAGAGACAGTAGTTTTGTTTTTTTGTGGTTTGTTTGTTTGTTATTTGTTGTTTGTATCCCTTTTCTACAGAACTCTGTGAAAGAACACAAAAAAGCCCATCATAGTGATTTCATTCCACCAAACTGCTCAGCTTCATAATTGAATCCTCTGATAGAATTTTGTTTTACATATTTACAAAATTAATTAAAACCAAATCTCTCACTTTTCTATGCACCCCAGAAGAAACAATGAAAGCAATCACACCTATTCTGACACAAACATTGACTTTTCTTAAAACTTCCTTTTAATAAAAATCACAAAACAAATAATCATAATCATGATCATAATAATAAAATCAATACCATTCACATATGTCAGAATGATTACATGAATATTATCCGTTACAACATAAATAAAAAGACTCTTAAGGCATTATGGTGAGAATCAAGGCCCACTCAAACTTCCTATCTAACAAATTTAATATTTTATGTTAAAATATCTGTTACTTAATGAATGACTTGGGCTTTTTTTCTTTAATGTATATTATTATATGCAGCTATTACTCACTTTGCCCTTCTGTGCTTGTCTGCATATTGTGGCTCTTTTGCTGTGTGTTGTTTTGTGTTGTGGGTCTCCTCCACATGGAACTTATTGTTGTTAAATTTTGAAATAAATTAATATTTTGTAATGCCTATATATATATATATATATATATATATAGCATTCTTGTGAGAATAGTCGTACAAAATACTGTCAAAAATCTTATTATGAATATTTTATCTTTAATGTAACTTGTATGGTTATATCTGTTTATGGTTGGTATTAAACCCACCCTAGGCAAATTATGTTTTTACATGCTTTTAAATAATAAATAATAGTACATTTTTTTATTAAATAAAAGTACAATTTGGCCAATTTATTGGTATTCCTTGTCTTCCGGAAGAATGTTTTATTAAATAGGTTGAAATATTAATGATATTAATGCTTCATGTGTCAAAAGACCATTAAATTAGTCACATTGTAAAAGTTTGTCATCCAATAGAGAACCATGTTGTGCCACACCTTTACCTTAATCACATTTAATGTATTTATAATAAAATAAAATAAAATAAAAAATCTTAAGGTGTAGTTCAATTTTTTGTACGTATTCGTAAATTCTTGAAGAAACTTCTTATATTTGTAGCATTGCACCAGATACATGTCACTATAAATTGGTGGCAGTAAATCAGATATTACATAATAGTGCCGTTCCAGATTTAAAAATTGTTTTCTTCTTTTATAAACCTAATGTTGATTCTGTGTTCTAAAGGTGGTTATCAATTTAGAACAAAAGTTACAAAACTTCAAATCCATTGTGAGTGTTGAGGATTAAAAATAAATAAATGATTACAGCACATTCCTAAGCATATCTTTAAATTTATTTATTTTTTAAAAAAGAAACAGAAAAAGAAAAATAAAACTTTGAAAAACATGTTCATTACTTTCATCCTCAAAATACCTTGAAAATTTGGGAATATGTATATATATAGATATATACCCATTCTCCATAGGAACATTGAGAGTAAAAATTAAGCTAGACCAAAAAAGCTTATCTAGAAAGTAGATAAATTAGTGCTAATTCAAAGCATTTAATCTGTAGAAGTGTCTACTACTAATAAATACTCATTAAAAAACTCCAAAATATCTAATTCCATAGATCTATTAAAATCATCCATTCAAGTCTACAAGTACTCAAAATTTATTTTTAAACCCATTTTTAGCTCAACCACACAACCCATCCTTACTCAACCTTGAAATTCAACTTTCATGTGTGAATTACATTAATTTTGGATCATCTTCTTTTTATGGTTTCAACCCTATGGTTGCTCACCACCATAGGGCATATTCTACATTGGCACTATAGATGAATATTGCACTACAAGATTGCATCCACAACCATTTACTAAGGGATTTGCCTATAGAATTGTTTGCATATTGCGCTTGGGCCGGAAACCAAGCAAAAATCTATTTTAGTACAAATAGTGCAAAATTGGCAATAATTGACACCGATTAGAGAGGTTGGTGCGCTTGGTTGAGTAATCCAACAAGTTATATGAGGTCTAAGGTTTGAACCCTTGAAGCAATAGAGGTGCTTATTCCCATAACAAATTTTTATTTTTGCTTGGTGGCTCTTTACTCCTTAGTCTCTATAGCTTTAGTCACACAAATTTTTTTTTAAAACAAGAAATGATGTTTTAATATAAAATGCTTTTGATTCTTGGTTTGTGACCTTGAAAGGAATGACCTATGCTTAGAATAAATAACTTTCCAGAATATTTAAGAAGAAACAAAAAAAGCTTTAATATGTTTGTTATACCACTCAGTATGATAATTTTAATGTCTTTTTTGTTGAATAAACATATCCAATTCATATTAGCCTTTACATTTTAAAATATTCTCCATTTATAATTGTGTTTATATAATTTGAAAAACTTGTTCTTTGGATCTCCATGTAACTGAAAGCAATAATTTTATGAGTCATTTTGACTTTTAACACCTCCTTCATACTTAGTTTTTCTTTTTCTGGCTTAATATTTATTAAGTAGATGTAATATTCATGTAACCAAAAAAATTCAAATCCTTAATGAAACACACACACACACACACACACACACACATATATATATATATATATATATATACACATTTATTTATCTATTTATCGTAATAATAAATACCAGTAGTTGGTGTTTATAACAAACACGTTTGGGTTCTTATTATTTATCTTTATGTTGTGAATTTATCTTTTAGACTAAACATTGACATAGAGAAGAAGTTTCAAATTTCAAGGAACTTGCACTTTAATTTTAATTAGTTGTAATTAGTTGCAATCGAGGTTACCCCACTTACTAATTACCAGCAGGGTCACCGTAATTTGTCGTGTGGGTTTTTTTGCCTTTTTGATGTGCTCTGTCTGAGTGGCTTCAGCAAGAACGGCCTTGCGAAATGATAGAGCCCAGCCAAATTTAGTGCCACCTCCGCTAATCTGACGCCAACGCCATACCTGGTGAATTTAAATTTGTCCGGGAATCCAGCACGGACACGCGGGAAAGCATCACATGATCGTTGCAGAGCCCCCCCTTATATAGATACCACTCCTTTAGCCTTTCTCCGTGGCGGGAGAGATACACGTGCCAGTGATCGTGGCGGATCCACGTGGAGATCCAGGTGGCCGTTGTCCACTTTGTCACTCCCGTCTGCCTACTTGGACTCTAACTCGGTGTCCGATGGAGTTGCTTCGCCGCTCTATTGGTCTCCTCACGACACACAAAGGACACCGTTGACAAAAATCCGTCTCTTGGTTTCGATTTAATTTTTTGGTAGAGTAAACCCTGCTTCTTTTTTTTTTCTTTTTTTGAAAGATTCTTGTGGCTGGCTCGTGGTGAGATGGCTTCAATCATGGCGTGAGCAGCGATCGTTCATGAGCTTTTGGGACCTTTTTGTGTCAAAGTGTGAGAGATTTGATTGAAATAGGACTTATTAAATGTTTGGGAGCTGGGGAGGGAATTAAGCTTAAAATAGGGTTTATTAATATACTTTTGATTAGAACAGTGTGAGTCAAGCGTAGCTCAAGATCCAAGAGAAAATTCCTTAACCAAGGCCTGTCTTAACCCAGAAAGTTGAATGGATATACTGTTGTATTTTGTGATATTGATTTCCCTATCCAGTTGCTATATTTATTGTCCAATGTTGCAAAAATAGAGGTATAGTTTCGTATGTAAAAAAGCAAACACTGGTGTTCAATCAAGATTCGATGTCCATTATTCAATTGAAAAATTCCAGTGAGCGTTGGAAGGTTGAAATGGTGCAGTGTTGCTGTTTGTCTACAAGGATATATGTAATTTTATATTTAAAAAGAATAATAAGAGGTACAAAATTGGGTCCTTTATCTTCCTGGTCTTTTTCGTATGTAGACATACTCATAAACATGCAAATTTTCACCCTGAAATTGCCAGTTCAAAAAAAAGAATTAGATTCAAGACTAATTCCAAGCTTTCAAAACACTATGGTCGGAATAAATACTTTAAAAACCAACACCAAAATTCCATATGCTGCACGGAGAAGGAAAGCAAGGCAACCTAATATCATCCACCCATCCATCCATCCAACTCGCAAGCAAGGGCAAAGAGGGAGTCAAACGGGGTTTGCATCCTGGAATTACGCACAGTCCCCATGCCTGGGGACGCGATGCACGAAGGGAGAGGGAGAATCAGGGGGACGTGACATGGCCTTGGAGTTATATCTATATCTATTTATAAATATTTTTATTTCCGTTCAATGAAACGAGGGGAGAAGACGGAGGAGGAGACTGGGGTCCATCGTCCGTTGAAGCTTCTCCGTCCATCCTCGTCCTCCTTCTTCTCGCACGTCCACTCTCCGTCCCTCGGTCGCAGACAATTGCATCACCGTGTACCTCCACAGAATACGGCAGCCTCCGGCAGCTTGCCGCTCATCGATCGCCAGGCAGCAAAGCAAACATCAGCCGCAGTAGGAGCAGAAGAAGCTGAAGAAGAAGCAGGAGGAGTAACTTAGCGCAGCCCTGCGAGCTTCGTTGTGGAATCAAGCAAGATTGGACAGCAGGAGTAGCAGCAGCTGAGCACATTGGTGTGCTGCAACTGTGTTTCTGCAGGTTTTTGTGTCAGGTGCGGGGTCAGGCGATCATCGCGCTCAACGTAATCCATACCGTGGCGCTAATGCTGCTACACTCGGAGAGCAAGTGCCCGCGGCCATTACCATGTGTGCCTCCGACTGCTGCAACTAATCTCTCTCTCTCTCGATTTCGATTTCTCTTTCTATCTCTCTCTTTTCTCTTTGCTCATACTCCGTGGATTGTCCTGCCTACGGTGATGTGGTGTGTGCTACCTGCCTTTGTCGGGATCGTTTGGATTCTCTTTCCGATGCGGTCATGATGGCGTTAGAATGTAAGCAGCTCAAGCGTTATCGAGCAGAGAGACTGGAAAGGGAGAGGGATTGGAGTGGGAGGGAGCGAGAGAGAGATGGAGAGAGTTGGAGGTGATAAAAAGCCGCGCAGTGTAGGCCGGGTATTCTGTGTGCATGTGGGAGGTGCTCACACACTGTGACAGAGGTTGTAGTTGCCTTGACTTGGAGTGGCGATGAATGCGACGGGTTCGTTCTTATTTTATATTTCCTTCATCCTTTTTGTTTGATTCGTAGTTCTCATGTAGCACATATCCGAATTGCCCTTCAGCTGCAGTGGCCTGCCATTGTATCGCAAGCTCGTTCCGACTGCGGAGAAGTGTTGGTGGGAAGTACATGTAATACGTAGTAGTGTTTTCCGTTACTGCGTGGTCGAGGTTGTCAGGCTCTTTTGTTGTATGAGGTTTTTGGATTTTGCGATTTCAGTAGCTACGCGCGGTTGGTCACAAGATTTTTTGTTTACTGGATACGTTCGCGAAGAAGGTAGATTCACGGCGATAATAGCGACCTTGTAGTATCGTCTTTCTCTCCGAACTTTTTCTCTTGATTGTCATTCATTCCTTCAGCCGGAGGGATTTTTGAGCTTAGCAAGATTAGTCTGTGATGCCTCTTGCAAGAAAGCATTGTACCTCAGCATTTAACACAACAGAGAAGACGTTGACGCTCTTAGTGTCGTAGCAGGGTTTGTCGTCCTTCTCCGTTCCAATGTCACTATCAATGGTTAACGACATATGTCCAAAACATTTAGAGCCATTTAATCTTGACACTCGTGATCACGGATGGGGACAAGACTTTCCAGGGCTGCATCAATAGCATCTGAGAGGGAGTTTGCTGCTGCTGCTCGGGGGCAGTCGTAGGCGTCTATTGCTATTTTATCATCACAATAAGTTGATCATATCGAATTCAATCAACATCTGAAAGAAGCTGTCCTAGCATTCCATTTTTATCTTTTCGGAGAGTACCTGCTCACACCAAAGAATTGCTGCTCCTACCTAGTTTCTTGCAAGCTCTGTTCACCGTTAGACAGATTATAGAGTAGCAAAGTGTTATACCTCTACTACGGATATCATTACCGCAGAGTGTTAAGCAGAGACTACGAAGAGAGTCAAAGCAGTCACCAATTCGATTTTACACTCTGCATTTCATCCAGGTAGCAGGTGTGGAAGTAAGGACAATCAATTCGTGATCTATTTTTTTAATTCCTTCTCAGGCGGAGAAAGACTACGGAAATTATTGGAAGATCCCTCTGGTCACTGGCGAATGCAACCGCTTCTGTCTCGTACGCGGCGATCACCTTAAAGGCAGGACGTCGAATCGGGATCGAAATACTCCTCTGTAAGGAAGGAAGATTGTGGAACTGATGCCTGCTTCACTAGAGGACAACCCATTGCAATTTCACCGAAAAGCTGCCCATTGAAACGTGAGATGAATCAGAACTACCATCTGTGTTCTGGTGAAGCTTCATTTATTCTTCTGTTCAGCTCTGTCTCTATGGATTGCTTCTATCTATTGTCTGCTATTGTGGAGATGTTTTAAGGATCGGACCCGCTATCCAAATAATATCTTTTCTCTAGTTAAAATGTTCCTCGTGTGTGATTGTTTTCTGTGTGGCAGGCTTCATCATGCAATGTTGAAATCAAGTATAATCCTAAGTTTTGGAGAGGGAGGGAAGGCGAAGAGCTTACACCAGATTCCACAGAGTGCAATTGTAATGAGAAACGTGTTTTCTCATAGACTTTTCCTGTTTGTGTTTATCTTGAATCTGGCATCCTCAACCTTAGCATTGACACCTGATGGTGAGCTGGATCCACAAATTTTTTAATTTTCCAAATACGAATGTCCGGGGAAACGTGGTTTTTTGTATTTTCGTTCGTCTTGAATAGAAAACCATTCAGTGAAGAAGGGTGGTTTGACACATCAGTGAGGATTTTTTTACATGTTTTCCAGCTCTCATAATTGCATCACAATAGTAGGATACTCCTTGGTGACAGGGAAGTGAGTTGCACTTGATTTATAACAATGTTGATGACATTTGGAGTATGCGTGCTAAGGAATACTGATTATGGTTACACGTGTGTCCAGGCTTGGCTTTGATGTCGCTCAAAGAACTTCTAATCGATCCCGATAATCGCCTTGCCAACTGGAACGAATCGGATGCGGATCCTTGCAGATGGGTCGGAGTAAGGTGCCTGCTAAATACTAGCCGCGTGCAGATGTTGTAAGTAGCAAACCTGTCACAACCTCATGTCTCTGTAACTGACACGTTTGTTAAGTACTAATAATTAGAAAAAGCAGTAAGCTTGCTAGTAACGCACAGTCGCTGTGCGGAATGTGGGAACGTATCAATTACTGAAAGTTATTTTTTTGAAAAATAAGTTTGTGGATTCTTGCTGAACTTATCATCATCTCATTTGACAGGGTACTCCCGTTCAAACAGTTGCGAGGACCTATATCACCGGAAATCGGCAAGCTCGACCAACTCAGTAGACTGTATGACCTCTATTCAGAACCCGTCTTTTTCTCCTAGGATGGTTCACGAATTCTTTGTAGAGTCTAGAGTTTCAATGTAAATCTCGTAAGTCATACTATATTTTGCGACTGGTGTCAAGAAAGTTCATACATGTAGCGGTTATTTTTGCCTCTGTTGAACCCTTTGTCAGGTGGCTGAAGTTGAGTTAAAGGCTTTCATTTTGCCCATGTCTTAACCACAATTTCCTTCAATCTGTGTGCTGCAGGAGCCTACATTCAAATAAACTTTACGGACCCATTCCAAAAGAGCTTGGCAACTGCACATCATTACGACAATTGTAAGTTCACAAATCATTGGAGAAAAGATGAGGTTAGACTATTGCATTTTTCTTCTTGTTGACATTAGTAGCTTTTACACATCTGCAGGTATCTGCGGGGGAATTTTCTCACTGGGAGTATACCAACAGAGCTAGGGAATCTCAGGCTCCTTGCAGTGTTGTAAGTATCCTCGTTCAGTCCGCCACACAAACCTTCGGTGCCTGCTCTTCATTGCATCTGTATTGCTAAGGATTTGTTTACAAGGCAGCGAAAATTTTGAGGTCAAAGGAATAAAATTGGGAATATTTTGCAGGGACTTGTCAAGTAATGGACTAACGGGTAGCATTCCTAGTTCTATTGGATCGCTATTCAGGCTCACCTTTTTGTAAGTCTTCAAGTCTTCTCTGTACATGCAATGTCTTTGGAACCTCATTCTCTTTCATATTGATGTCGTGTCGAAAGGTGTGGGATCGTTGAGGTGTGGAACATCAGTATACTGAGGTCAATTTACTTCTCTGCTCTGTAGTCAGGTATTTTAAAATGTTAACGGCTCTGGATTTTCTGTGCAGAAACGTTTCCTCTAATTTTCTCTCGGGCGATATTCCAACAAATGGGGTCTTAAAAAACTTCACTTCCCAGTCGTGAGTGCCTATCCTTTCAGAAGTTATTTTGGAGGATGTGCTAATTTTTTAAAATTTTGTTGTGCATGCAGTGAAATTGAACGAGTCAATGTGTCTTGCAGGTTCCTAGAGAACCCAGGCCTTTGCGGTTCACAAGTGAAGATAATTTGTCAGGGTATCTCTCCAGCACCCGCCCCCGCACCATGGAAACCAACTCCAGCAAGCGCACCACCGTACTCTGAGCCTCTACCTTTTGGAGATGGAAACAGTCCTGCTCCGTCTCCTGCTATAGCCTCAGGTTCTACTGAATAGTACTGCTTATACTTTATGTGTTATGACGGGTGTGAAGCTGAAAAATGCTATATACATTACATCTAAATACATGAGGTATGATTGATAAGGAGTTGTTGGATTGATCTAAGGCAACCTCAGTATATGGAAAGAGGTACAGAGAAGTCTGAATGTCTAAATGTTTTCATAACACAATCGAGAGACAGATTAATTTTTTTAGGAATTGAATTAGTTACCTGCATTAATTACGTGCACAGATTCAACTTCTTTCATAATAACACGTGATTTGTGCAGCTGCAGGGGGATCTACTGTAGAGCCTACTATAACATCTCAGAAGCACGGGTACTCCAATGCACTTTTGATAAGTGCAATGAGTACTGTATGCATTGCCTTATTAATTGCTCTAATGTGCTTCTGGGGTTGGTTCTTACATAATAAATATGGAAAACAGAAGCAAGTTCTGGGAAAAGTCAAAGGTGTAGAAGGTGCGATCTAATGCCGTGCTGTAACATTCTGTAGAATTTATCTCAATGTATGTGATGTTAAATATCTGAAGCTGGAAGTTTGAACCCTTGTTGATACTGACAATGGTGCATTTTAAGAAACATTTAGAGGGATTACCGAGTAGTTGTCCTTGAGTCGAGTTTGTTTCGTCATTCTTTGTATCTCCATATTCCAAATTTTTAAAAATAACATGTTGGTCTCATCATGCAGCATACCATGGAGCTAAGGTGGTAAATTTCCATGGCGATCTGCCCTACACGACTTTGAATATCATAAAGAAAATGGACCTGCTTGATGAAAGGGACATGATAGGCTCTGGTGGGTTTGGCACGGTGTATCGCTTGGTTATGGATGATGGCAAAATTTACGCAGTAAAACGGATTGGAGTATTTGGATTATCGTCTGATCGCGTCTTCGAAAGGGAGCTGGAAATTTTGGGTAGTTTTAAGCACCGAAATCTCGTCAACCTACGTGGCTACTGCAACTCTCCAACTGCCAAGCTTCTGATATACGACTACTTGCCCTGCGGAAACCTGGAAGAGTTTCTTCACGGTCTGTGTCCGACTTCTGAGTTCGCTTTAATTTTCAGTTCTGCAATGTTAAGAGGCTTCAAGAACTTGGATTGGGAAGAGCGTCATATATGCTTTTGAATTGAAATTAGCTACTTGATTTTTAAATAAATTAGTATTAAGTAGTTATCTCGATTAGCTATAATGACTACATTGCCACACATTTTCACATGAACAAGAATCTGTTGCACTTTCTTGCGTTTAAGCTGACCGATTGAAAATAGTGAACTTCACGTCAGTCCATTTTTGGTGACTAACCCACAGCTTGCTGATTCGTATTCGGCAGATAGAGAGCCGCAAGAGGTGTTGCTAAACTGGGCAGCGCGTTTGAAGATCGCCATTGGGGCTGCCCGAGGGCTTGCTTACTTGCATCATGACTGCAGCCCTCGCATAATCCACCGCGACATCAAATCAAGCAATATTCTATTGGATGAAAATTTAGATCCTCATGTGTCTGACTTTGGCTTGGCCAAGCTGTTGGAAGACAAAGCCTCTCATGTGACTACTATTGTTGCTGGTACCTTTGGCTACCTTGCACCAGGTATTTTCCTAATACTAACAATGTTGAGAATACAACTTACGTTCTGGTCGACAATCTGAACGCCCAGAAGAGTTCGATTGCTTGCTGATGGTCATGGTCGTGATTCTGCTTGTTCTTGTTAGCTCACGGTCAGTAAATGGGAGTTTGTAAGCAAGAAGTATTCGATGTCTGTTATTGTTTAGGAACCCGAGTGACTGTAATCTTATACTAGGTTGTCTGTCATGCAGAATATATGCATACTGGGCGCGCCACTGAGAAAGGGGACGTGTACAGCTATGGTGTCGTATTGTTGGAGCTTTTAAGTGGCCGACGCCCCAGTGATCCTTCTCTCATTGCGGAAGGCTTGAACCTAGTTGGTTGGGTAAGAGTTCGGTGCATGACTTTGTTACACGTCGATTGTGTTCTAAGAAATCCTCATCGTTGCCAAACGCGTCTCGATATAGATATCAATCAAGTGAAAGTTGGATTTAGTCAGCTTTGCTGCTTAGTTTTCAGGCAGAGCATTGAAGCTGTTGAATAATTGGTGCACGGAGTATTTTACTCTGATCTCATGTAACTGAAGTATTTGGTATAACATGGGATCAGGACTCGATAAACAAGTCTTAACCATCGGTCTTCTCTGCATTTCCAGGTTACGCTCTGCATCAAGGAGAATATGCAGTTTGAGATTTTTGACCCGAGGATCATAGATGGAGCTCCAAAGGATCAGCTGGAGTCTGTTCTGCAGATTGCTGTGATGTGTATTAATGCTTTGCCGGAAGAGCGCCCTACAATGGATCGAGTGGTTCAATTGTTGGAGGCTGATACCCTCTCCCCGTGTCCCAGCGAACTCAGCAACTTCTACAGATCACCTCATTCTGACGAGGAAGCCCGAGGCCGCTAGGCCACTTACGATCAGGTCGTAATTCTTGCTCAGTACCGCCGGCAGCAGGTGTTAACATTGTACCATAAAGGCCAAAGTACATCAGCACGCATTGGGTAACACGGTGTTTGCGGGTTCAAGCTTGTACCTTAAGAATTCAGTTTACTACGTCTCAGTTTTTTGTGATTCACTTATTTATTCCCTACTAGCTGTGGCTTAGGGAGATGTATGTCTTGGCACCCTAAACACTTGTAGCCCACTCTTTAGACACTTCAGATTGTACCATAATGGCATACCAATCAGATGTCTGTCAAAGGATTAGGTTGTCAGGGATTTATCTTGAACAAAAATCTTAGAAGTCATCGTTCTTAGAAGTCACCATTCTGAGAAGTGCTGCATCCCCAACTTGATGATGCTATCTTGGCACCTTCCTGGCCTGGGGTGTGTGAAAACTTTCTTATTCTTGTGCTTACATCTGCATAATTCAATCCTCTTAATGTTGACAGCAGTTCTCACTTGTTCTTATGCTCTATGTATGATCCAGTTTTTCTGCCTTGAACTAAGTCAATATGGTCCAAATGCATGAGAAGATCAATGGTGATGTAGACTAACGACAATGAAAATGGGTTGACCTGATTCAAGTGGCTATATTTGTTTTGAACATAAAATTTGCAAATAGACTTTATTGCAAATTGGATCAACTTTTGGTGAAAATATGCACTCAATGCAAGTGACTTTGTTAATTATGTTCATAGAAACAAATGAACGAAAAAGAGTCTGGGATATCCCCAAGAATTTGCTATAGTGTAGGTGTTACCGGATTTTTTGCAGCAAGTAGAAAATATTTATTTCTGGTTAATTAATCTTAATAGTAAGTTCTTGAAAAAATCTTTATTCTCAAGTTGCAAATAATTTCAATTTCATAAGTTATTTTAAAGGTTTTTTATGTTCAAATCTATGTTAGAACAAGAGTTGAGAGACCATGAAACAAAACTTGCATCTTAGTTAAATCCTTTAATATCTATTACATGAACCTTTGTATAATAATCTTTCATTGCTTTCCAATCTTGTATTGTAACGATTAATGTGCTACCATTGTTACCACATAGGATATCTAACAACACAATATCTTCAATTTGACTTTCATATTTTATATCATCTAATACCAAAGTAAATTTTTTTTTTGTATAATAAAGGATTTCAACAATTCTTGTACTTCTTTTAAATCCTTTGGTTTGTCTTTCACTTTGAATTGTTCTAAAATATTCCAAGAAGTTGCACAACAATTGCCATTATATTGAATATTCTCAACAAAGCATGAAGTATTATACATATGCAATTATAATCTTGTAAATTCCTCCCATACCAAATAGATATAATGCTTTAACTTTTTTCATGCATAGTTGAGAAATTTCCAACCTACATTATTTTCTTCCCAACAACTTATTGAAATCCAAATCAACTTGCATGGACAAAATACAATATGTAAATAAAAGAATTAAAAGGTGTTATTATAAAATCTTAATAAAATATTATATATATATATATATATATATATATATACATATATATAAAAGAAAAAAATGAATAAAATTTTGTATGTTTTTAATCAACAAATTCATTAGTTAAAATAATATTAGTGACACATTATTATGTTTTTGTTGTGGTTGTATTTTTTAATTGACACTATTCTTAGATGCACCAAAAAGTGGTCTTCTTGCAATATAAACTTCTTCCAAAACCTTCTTCTTAATCATGGTGAGTCTTTTACAAATATTTGTAAATGTTGGTCATTGTTAAGGATCTAAATTCTAACATTCTTTTAACAATTAAGTTGATTCTTTAAAATTTGAAGGAAATTTTGGTCTTTTATCTTTTTCTACTAGTTTTAAAATCTCACTTTTTTATTATTTATGTTATGAAATAGATCTTTTCTTAAAAGAATCTTTGAACATATCATTGCAAAGGATTACATATTGTCTTCAAAAGGACACAATTTTATTACTTGATTTAATTTTTTGACAGACTCATGAGCTATGTATGCTATAGTTCCATATATATATTTATATATATATATATATAAGATCATTTTTTAAAGCTTCTGGTTCTTTTCCAACATCAATCTTTAACATTCCAAATTCAATCAGTTTAACAAAAGCATATTTAATAATCTTATTCAATTTGATGCATAACATCAATGACAAATATACAATATATTGATTTTTTTCCTCCAACATATTACTCAAGCTTATTTTCATTAATTTCATGACTAAATATAACTTTCTATTTTTCTTTATTTTAACACTTTTGAAAACATCTTTTAAAGCACAAAAATATTTTATGAAGTTGGGATGGCTCAATCTTCCTAAAGTGTTCACTTCTTTGTCAAAATATACATTAAATATAACATCAATGTCTTTTGTTGCACTTCAAAGTCCTAACCACCTAATTTTGTAATCTTCTCCATGAACTCTTTAATTTATATATTCCATAATTTTTAGAATTATCTTGTCAAATGAAACTTGCATTACATCTAATTCTCTACCTTCTATGTAATGTGAGTCCTCCAATCTTTTAAAAAATGCTCTATTAATTTATCATTTTGAAAATCCTCCTTTGTATTTTTTTAATCTTTCATATAATTTTTTTTATTGACTTCAACTTCATTTAAATTTATAATATCAAACATAATTGATGAAGCACTTTGAGTTCTTTTTGATAAATGATTCAAAAGCATAATAATTCCAATATTATAATAAGACTTCAAATCTCCAAGTAATTTTTTAAAATTCTCTTTGATGTTTAATTGAAATATAGTTGATTTACACCAATATTTTTTACCACAATAATTTACTAGTAAATAAATATTACTTATTATAAGAATGAATTCACTAATTATAAATCCACATTCGAAATCATCACTTCTATATTATATTAATTCTTGAAATATTTCCATACCATGATCAAGACTTTTAGAATGCTTAATACATTGATTTTTGTTAAGAATATCTTTCGCCTTCAAAACAAATTTTATTTATTTTACATATACTTTACATTGTCTCCAAATATCTCCAACAATATCTTATATTACAGCAATATTACCAATATCTTGAATATGACTATTATATATATTTTTTAAACCATGAAGGTTTTTGTATCTAAGAACCAAATAGAAAGCACAAAAGTATTAATATATACATTAGAAATGTATCCAAAAGCTTAGCTATGATATGACAATGATAAATATCCATAATCTATTCTTCAATGTTATAAATAAGGTTATATAATAATATTGATATATGTTTTTTAAAAACTTCATAAGAAAAATTTGCTACAAAGTAGTGTTATTATTAAGTATTAGATTAGAAGATAGTTAAATTCTCATTCATTATAGAAAATTAAAACTACAATATTTTCTTATATATCAAATGTACTCCAAAAGTACTTTAATACAGGGAATAATATCATAATGCTTCATACACCATGAGTTAATCATAATATATAAATTCAACTAGAAATGCCTAAGAAACAAGATTCTTTTCAAGTAAACATTAAAAAAGATTAAGAAAATTAAAAAAGAATATATTTATAATTTTTTACATGAAAAATAAATAAATTATAATTCAACAAGATCATACAAGGTCATTAGAGTTTGATGGTCACCTATTCAAGTTGCTAGTTTTCTTAACAAGCATAATTTATTCCTTTACTTTGATTACTATAATATCAAATGTCTAGAGTTAGAGACATGCCGTAATGCACTCATGCAACAATTATAATTACAAAGCATGATGATTTTAATAATTCATTAGGCTCTGCATCCAACTTGACTAAGATAAGTAGTAATTTTTGTATTCATACGCCCAAAAATACTAAGTTGGTAATCTTGATTCTTTTTTTGTGTGTACAACTTTTTTAAATCTACAATAGAAAGAAACCAAAATAATTTGAAATAATTAATAAATAACATTTGGCAAGGCGACTAAATTATAATGGAACTGACATGAAGTTTATTATAAGCTAAATTGTAAATATAACATGTATGTTTATTGCTTGTAGAATTTTTTTTGTTATGTTCATAATTTGGTAAATACTATTGTTGATCTTTTATACCTATAGATAATACATTTGTGTCATATAAAATATTTATTTTCTACAATTAAAGAAATGTTCTTTAGTTCTTTCAATTAAAAATGTAAAGTGGGTAAAGAAATTAAGTAAAAAGAGACAAGCATTTAAATATGTTTAAAAGCTCTATGCTCTTACAAAAACTCAAAGGAAAATCATTAAGTACTAGTAATGGTAGTTTTCCTAGTTCTTCCATATCATATCAAAACTACTCACTATTGTTCAAGAGCTTTTACAATTTTTAGTACTTTAACAGTTATTAAATTATCATGTTTTAATTATTTGTGATCAATTGTGGTTTCAAGTCAATACGTCTCTGTCTTTTGCCAATTCTTGATTAAAAAAATGAGGTAATAAAAAGACACTAGACCATAATAATCATTATAACATCTTCTAATTCAATAATTTGAAAACAATAATAAACACAAATACTATATATGCAATTGGATGATCAAATATAAATATAAAATTTTAAGAATAAATAAAGCATGCACTCAATTCATCCAACCATACATAAGTTTCAACATCCAAAATACTATAACAATGATATAGAAGACACAATAGATATGGTGGCAGAATAATTGCCACTATAAGTGACTTGAATAAGTCATGTATTTTCAACTTCAAGAATCATTTGCAGTCTTTAGTTGAGTGGTTGATCGTCTATTCCTAACTCATATTTGTTATTTCATGTCAATATTAATATAAATAATTTATTATTTTTTTATTACATAAAAGGTTTTTTTTTTTTTTTTTTTTTTTTTTTTTTTTTTATAATTTGATTTACTCACCATTGTTTAAGACTATTTTTTGTTACCTCAAACAAGGCAAGTAAGATTAACAAATGTGATTCATTCACCTGTAACATAAATATTTGGCAGCAACTTTCATTATAATATACACAAAAACAACAAAGTAAAAACATGCTAAACTTATATAAATTTTTGGAAGTAGGAGTCAAAAACATAGAATCCAAAAAAATACATATTATATACTATAAAGCAAAATGAATCAACTATATAGTTGCTTTACTTTGCAATAACTTTCCAAAAGATGTATGTACAACTTTTTGAAGGAAAATAATCTTTTCAAAGGATGCAAGTTATGCTAAGATAATAATCTTTACTGACAAATGCACAAGGACGTGATTGTCATTTCAAATTACATATTAGTTTGGCCTTCAAAATTCTATTCTTGATTATTTACACTCATGCTTCAATTCTTTAAACCTACAAAGTTAGACCCATCTTTACTCCGAGCAAGTTAAAACAAATAGGAGTTTTTTACAAAAGTACATAGAGTATAACAATCTTTGCTAGCTAATCTAGCGACAATGCTATTTGCATGTACTAAAAGAATATCACATCATGTAAAGATGAG